AGGTATTTCCATTAGCCATGCTGGCATGCTTATCATCATGACTCGCAGCGGTATCATGGATAACCAAACGATATTCAGGAATTGCAGCTGTATATGGAGTGGCTGCAGAATTTGCATCATCCTCATCTCTAAGTATTTGATCTAACTCAGGCCACAGTTGTTCTCGCCTAAGAAAACAAATCAAGGTAAATAACCAAACACCAAACTTTGTCTGCTTATCCCATCATATCATCTCAGAGATGCATAAAGAATGATTCAAATGAGATGCATAAAGAATGATTCAAATAACATAACAAATTGCACAAACAAAGAAGGGGAGGTTTAATTACCAGGCAGCAAAATCATCTTCAATGCACTGATCATCATCACCAAGGCCAACAGGCACAATACGTTTTGCACCTGTGATACAGTGAGTCCAACTAAGGTATAAACTTGTTTAAATTAAAATGATCATCCCACACTAACAAATACAGTAGCAAAAGAGTGAATTGAGAATTGGCTGATAATAGCTTTTCAACAGGAGCCTCTGGGTACAAATATCTTCATAAAGCACCTATAACTGAAAAGTAAACTGCACCTACCTTCACTTAAAGAAGCATAAGATTGAAGCATATCAGGACTATATAACCCCAATGCAAAAGATAAAAACTAGATGCCCCAAGAAATGCCAGCAACACAAAAAATCATTTCAAATTACTAACTCCTGGTAGTTGGGAAATGCATAGAATCAAAAACAATCACGATTACACAACACAGTCTAGTTGGGAAAAGAGTGGAGGCATAATTTATTTTGCAATATCATCCAACAACTTCCAAGCAGCTGTTTTCTTAGTACGATGAAAGTTGAAGCAAGAACAGTAGAACATATGATAGTGGAAAGGCCATATATACACACCTTGTTCACTTAATTGTTCATCTATCACCTTCCCAATCTGTTCAAAATGTTCTTTGTCAGATAACAAAACAGGAATGTGGAAAAGACAATAATAATTTTTTTTAAATGGTACAATAATATTAAAAAAAAATACCTTGTTAAAATGTTCATATTGGCGATTACCCAAGCCAAAAACTCCATAGGTAAGGTGCTGCAGCCACGTGCCCCGTTCTTGTCCCTAAACATAAAACACAAATATAAGGTTCCCCACACAAAAAGGGAAGTTGCTCTGAAAGAAGCATATTGAAAGAGCAATGATGCTCATAACTCCTTTTTCTACCTCAGTGAACCACTTGTAAAACCTTGCAGCATTATCAGTGGGCTCGCCATCCCCATAGCTAAAGTATCAGATGTAAGAATGTAAGGTATGCGTGAAGTGTATTCTTAAGTTAAAGCAAACAGATAATCAAACTTGACAGATTCCAAAAGAACATATCTCTTACGTTGCCACCATGAAAAATGCTACTGTTTCTTTCTTCAGTTTCTCCTCATACAGATCATCATCGGCAGCATAATCATCCTAGGGTTGAAAGTTTATGTTATCAGAGAAAGAGACAGAAAGCAAGGAATTCAGGATAAATCACTCAATTCGACTTACCATGTCCACAACTTTTACTACTGCCTTCTCATATCTTGCTTTTATCTCCTCTGATAAAGCCTGACAGGAAATATAATACTAAATTATTGATCAAGAACATGCAGACAACCAGTCTTTAGACTGACGTGAGCATGCAGAAAAGATGAGATTTTTGGAAAGCCTCCTGAAGTGGATACACGACTGTGCCACATATTAGTTACATAACTTTATGTTGCTTATGCTAGTGCCTTGGGGATCAGAATTAAAACTTTCAAGCCAGGATTTCTAAAGGCCTTGCTGCAGTAGACAACTCCAGTGGCAGACTCGGTTACATAACTTCATCTTGGTTATGCATTGTACATTAAAGATGAGAATTCAAACTTAAGTAGCAGCAATTTGCTCATCAAGAAACAGAATCACGTTTAATTGCAGAAATAGATGAGAATCTTCAACTATAGAACTGCTTTGAATGCAATAGCATGCATTTTCATTTAAACCACCAATATATAATGGAGTAACAAACCTGAAAGCAAGTCTAAAATGCTACATGAACAGGCACTAGCAATAAGTTAATCAAAATTAAGTATTTCAGCGCACCAACAGGTCCCACCATTATTTCACCTCTTATATTCAAGATCCATCCAAAGAATTTGATAACAGAAAAAGGGGAAAAAAGAATGAATAATTCCATCAACAAGTTCAGTATCCAGCAGAATCTCCATAGCCATTATTATCATGATCGGAAAATGGCAGTTAAGAAGAAATGCAACAGAAGCACTGAGATGCATAAAACACACAATTATCATTCCCAGGATGCTCATGTAAATAAAGAAGAAAGAGATCTATGGATTAGTCAACCCTGGAGAAGAATTTCTGGACTACTGTGCATGAACGGGCTTGAACCTCAGTCTAAACATTATAATGTGTTGAACTTTGATGAGAAAATTAAGAATATAAGTAACTTTTCTATATGATCAAATTCCCTATTTCTCAGGTTAAAAGAACATGAAATAGTATATAGATAAAGATCAAAGAAGCAATAAAATGGCCCAATCAGCAGGTGAATCTAGGAGTCTTTCTCTAAATAAAAAAATTCTAAATTATTTTTTAAAATAACAGTATCATGTCGTCCGACAGCTCCCCCAAGTACCAGCTACTTCCCACCAACATACCAAACACAAAGCAGTTAACTCTGCCCACCAAAGCTTAAAGTGGATCTAGAATTTTAAGTAACCACAGCTCCCATTACTCAACTTAACATATGAACCCAGTAGCTTTGGCTGGAAGCCTATATATGTGCTAAAAAATCCAGCAAAGTAAATCAAATGAAACTGTGATACAATTCAGAACTCGAACCCATAATGCTCAAATCCTGGATCCAACTCCGCTACTCATATGTGATACTGTATGTGAATTTAGTATAAGTATATCTCTACCGAAATTTTCTAATTTTATAGTATATACATAGCGCAAGTAAAAAGGCAAAGATCTCTACTTTTATTCATAAAATGAATATACACACCTTGGCAAAACCCTCAGCAGTACCAGTTTGAGTACCGAAAAATACGGTGACCTTAACTTTTCCAGGTTCCAGCTCAATCTCCTCCTCCGGCTCCACGTGTAAGGACTTGGGGAACACGATAGGCTTCACTTCTTTACTCCGATCACTTGATCTCTTCAAAAACAACACCACTAACCCAACGATGACAGCAAACGACGTCGTCAGTAGCACCAACACCGTATCGCTCCCCAACGACACTCCTAACGCCGATTCAATCGATCTCACCAGCTCCGAACTCGACTCCATACTTGTAGGGTTTTTGAATGGAGGAGGACGGCGGAGGAGACGGAGGAGGAAGAGGAAGTTCTGGTTGGTTGTTGTGGTGGGTTTTATGTGTGTGAGATTTTGACCAGAAGTATCCTTAGGCTCTGTTTGGATGGATCTTAAATCGAAAGAAAGGAGAAAAGGAAAAGAAAAAAGAAGGGGAAAAGGAAAAGACTTTTTGATTAAATAAAGAGAGGAAAAAAAAAGGAAAAATAATAATTGCTGAAATTTTGTTGTGACTTGACTGAAAAGAGAACAAAAAACAAGCTGTACTTTTTGTGGGGTCGGGGGGTTGGGGGTAGTTGACAAATGAGAACCTTCTAATCACTTCTTTGCGTGTTTTTTTTTATTTAAGAAAAGTGATAATTATTGGATTTTTCACTAATAAATACTCTACGAATATTGTAAAACAACTTTTTTGGAAATTATTTTAGTAATAAGTATTACATTTATTTTTTATTTTTTAGTCTATTTCAAATAATATAAATTTTATAATATTTAAAATAATTTAACTTAGACGTTTCTTTTTATTTTTAACGAGATAATTAACAGATAAATATTTATGTCTTGTGTCAAATTATAAATTTTAAAATAAATAGTACTACCTTTATTTTGTTAGCATCCCAAATTGCTTTTTATCATGCCATAATAATTTAAGACGTGTTATGAATAGTTTGTACATTGGATACTACTTTGGATACTACATTGGATGCTACATTGGATGATCATGTTGTGAATAACTTAAAGATTAAATTTCCTACTTTATGTTCATCATCTTTATTTTTTATGCCTATAAAAGGTCATGTAATTGCAATGAAAAAATACACTAAAGTGAAAGAAGAAAATAGTTCTCCCTTCTTTCTATCTCTTCTTATTTACATTTCACTGCATTACTTTTATTTTATTACACATTATCAGCACGAAACTCTAATTTTATTCTTAACTCCCGCTAAGTTGAGTCATATTTTATTAAGGTATGTATCATTATAATCATCTTATTTATGGCAGTACATATCATATGCTCACTGTTTGCAGATTACTTGTGTGCTTGGGCATCTTAAATAGTTTAAGTACATTGCAGTGATTAAATAATTATTTCCTTCCGTGCTCAACTCTTAGAGGACCTCAAAGTCATCAAACTAGCTATGCACTAATGTCATGGACTCCCTCGATCAAAACATATCTTTAAGGCATTTTGAAGAACCGTGAGAAATGAATTGACAAGCAATAATTTTTTAATTACTTTATATTTATTGGAACATATAAATAATGTTAGTCACGTTCAATTCTATTAACACATATATATCAATAATATAAAGTGAAATGAAACAGGTATGTAGTTTCTACTTTATGGCAAGAATAAAATGAAATAGTAGATTGTTAACATGATATAGCTCTATTTTCATTTCTTTTACCTTAATCGTTTTGTTTTCATTAATTGTTTATTATTATAATTATTTCTCTAACTTATTCATCTTTTATGATAGTTTTCACTATGTCAAATTTATCAAAACTTGAATTTGTGGCACTTGACATCACCGGGAGGAACTATTTATCATGGGTTCTTGATGCTGAAATTCACCTTGACGCTAAAGGTCTTGGAAATACTATTATACAAGGAAATGAAGCATCAAATCAGGATAAAGCGAAGGCCATGATTTTCCTTCGTCATCATCTACATGAAGGGTTAAAAACTGAATATTTAACCGTAAAAGATCCACTTGAATTATGGATTAATTTGAAGGATCGATATGACCACCTAAAACTTACGGTATTACCGAAAGCTCGGTATGAGTGGATACATTTAAGGTTGCAAGACTTTAAAACCGTAAGTGAGTATAATTCTGCTATCTTTAAAGTAAGTTATCTATTAAAATTATGTGGAGACACTATCACAGATGAGGACTTATTGGAAAAAACATTTCTACTTTTCACGCTTCAAATATGGTGCTACAACAACAATACCGTGAAAAAGGTTTTAAGAAATATTCTGAGTTAATCACATGCATACTTGTGGCTGAGCAGAATAATACTCTATTAATGAAAAATCATGAAGCTCGTCCCACCGGGTCAACTCCATTTCCGGAAGTGAATGTTGTAGCAATATATAATAAGTTTGAAAGAAAACAAAATAATTACCGTGGTCGTGGACATGGACGTAAACGTGGACGTGGCAGGAGACGAAACAATTATCGTCATTATGGTGGAAATAAATTGGAGAACAATAAGAGTTCTCAAATTA